AAGTATGATAATACACTTAATAGAAATAGGGAAATTTAGAAGAGGGGAGGATTTGGAAAAAGAGAATGAGTTTTGTTTTGGATGTGGTGAATTTGAAATGCCAACCCAGTTCTCTAGACTACCAAAATTTTTTGGTAGAGTCAGCCATCATGTTAGCAATACTTCCCATTTTTGTTCTATCTGCAAATTCTGTAGATAAAAATATTAAACAGTACAGGACCAAGCGTACATTACTGGGAGACTCCACAGGAAACCTTCTATCATGCTGCTATTGGACCATCAACTCAGGCTAGGTGACCCAGTGTATAGATAGAGTGCTGGGCCTAGAGTCATGAAGACCCAAGTTCAAATCCAGTCTCAGACACTTGCTAGGAATGTGACCTTTAACCACTATTTACCTCAGTTTCTGGGTTGTTGTGAGGATCAAATGATATAATATTAGCATAGTGTTTAGTATAGTACTTAGTACAGTGCCTGAAACATAGTAGACACTATATAAATGCTTATTCCCCTATCTTCCCCTTCGCCCATCAACAAATATTTTTCAGTCAGTCCAGCCAATCAGTCCAAATCTAATTATATTATCATCTAGTCCATATTCCATCTCCTCCAAAAGAATGATATGGGAGACTTTATCAAAACACTTTGTTAAAATCTAGATAAACTATAGCTACATCATTTCCCTCAGCTGCTACTTTATAGTAACCCTGTCAGAAAAAGAAAATAAGATTAATCTAGCATGACCTGTTCTTGATGAAATCATTATGACTCTTTGTAATCATTGATAACCTTTTGAAGATTTGTCAGTTATGTCTTTAATGATCCATTCTAGAATTCTCCAGAGAATCAAAACCAAATTCACTGGTCTCTAGTTTACAGACTCTGTTTTTCCTTTTTTGAAAATGTGTGTGAATAAGATCTAGAACAGCATTTACCTTTGTTGTTTCCTCCACCTTTGGAATAACTTATTGTTAAGGCAAATTATGTTCTGCTCTTGGCAGGGAGAGAGTTCCAGCAGATGTCTGGATAATTGAAGTCCCCCAACACTGCTATATCATGTATGTTCTTGGCTTATGACACATTTCCCAAACTTGTCATAAATTTTCTTTTCATCCAGGTGGTTTGTAGTACACATAAAAGACAAAAATCACTTCTGTTCCCCCCTCTATTGACCTACGCACACAAATGTTCTCTGCCGGGCTGACCATTTCTGGTTCCCAGATTTCCTCACATTGTACCTTTCTTATATATAATGCTACCCTATCCTTTTTTTTTATTTTTTTTTATTTTTTTACAAAACCATTGCTACTCAGAGCAATGGTCCAGTCCTGTTTCCTTATACCAAGTCTCAGGGATAGCTATGAGGACAAACTTGCCTTCTTATATTGGAATTTCAAATTCCTCATTTGTCACCTAAACTTTCAGCATTTGTGTGTAGATATTTGAGGCAGTGGTTTATACTTTTGGCTCTTTTCTTGGATTTTTTTTGGGGGGTGTCTCAACTGCTAATATTCCTTCATTATAGCTTTTCTCTGAGGTATCTAACTTGGGAGATAGACATAGTTAGTCTTCTTTCCCTATCCTTTTTGACTTTAAAGACTTCTTAAATAGATTTACAACACATCTGACAAATACATTCTTCCTAGACTTTGTTAGTTGTACTCCCTCTCTGACCAGGAATCTGTCATATTCATATTTGAAGCTATGTTACAGAAAACTAATTCCCATCCTCAGATGCCACTTTTTTTAGCCAGCTGTTCATATGCCAAATTCATCTTTGATTAAGTGATTCTAGCATCTCATCAAAAATTATTACAGTGAAACATAAATTCTCACCTATCATTTTTCACTCTTGTACCTGCATTTTCATTATTGGGATGAACTGTTCTGAAAACAACAGTTTTAGAGTTACCTTGAGCATTAAGTTAAATGACTTGACCAAGGACACACAGCCAACATGTGACAGAGATGGGTCCTCTAAGGTCCCTTCCATCTCTAAAGTTATGATCCTGTGATTCATATATTTTAAATTCTGAAGCTAGCTCTCTATCTCTGTGCACACTCATTGATCTTCAATTTAGTCATCTTGCAGTAAAAGGTCCAGTCCTCCCAATCTAGAAAGGCTTTAAGTAAACTTAATTTTTTAGAAAAAACAACTTCACAAACTCATTTTGAGGAAAGTGCTTTCCACCTTGCAAGCACTAGACAGATGAATAGATACATATATTTTGTATATATATACATGTATACACTACATATATTCACATACATATATATAAGTTGTTGCTGTTATTCTACTACACTTTGCATTTTTAAAGTTTGTATTCTTCCTTCCTTGTTATTGACTCCTCACATTCCTAAACATGGGTTTTTTTCAGGTGCACCATGTCTAACTCATCCAAAATGTAACAGAAAGCCACTGACTTTTCCAAAGAATGTATCTGAAATGTATCCCTGTTCTGTATAAATCTGGCCTTAATACTTAGACTGTAGTTTATCTAATATTACCAGCTCATGAAGCCTTGATTAACATTGGTACAATTATCAGAGTAATCTTTTTTTTGGAGAGGGGGCGCTAGGCAATTGGGTTAAGTGACTTGCCCAGGGTCACACAGCTAGTACGTATCAAGTGTCTAAGGCCAGATTTCAACTCAGGTCCTCCTTATTCCAGGGCCAGTGCTCTATCCACTGCACCACCTAGCTGCCTCCAGAGTAATCTTAAGGACCTTAAGAACCAGAATTACCCAGATAAATTACTTAAACTAGGTTAAAGAACCATTTAATTTCTTAGCCTCCTCTTTTCTTTGTGCATTTTAGATTTGGCTTTCCCTCCATTATAATACCTTTCTAAACCTCTGGACTTTTTCAATGAGCGTAGTGATTGTGGTTCAATTTTCAGTCCTTAATAGAATTTAGTACTACAAAACCATCAGTTTTGTGGAATTAATAATTTGGAAAATGTATGTCTTTATGGCAGTACCCTTTTGTTCAAATCATCCTTCCAGGTAATATTAAAATATATGCCCATAGAAGTTATAAACACAACACACACACACACTCACAGTTCATAGGAATATTGTGATGTCCTCCCTTACACATACATTTTCCCCCAGAACAAAGCCACTTTGTAAATGTAACAGTAAATAACCAACACCAACTCTACTATTATCAAGTAACTTTCTTTGCCCACACTATTGACTGCCTCCTATACAAATTCGAAACAATGTGTAGAAATTTTAGAAACTGGTGTCAGGCTATTTTTACAATGAATTAATGGTATTCTAATTTGAAAATGATAAGCATATTACAATATGAACAGTAATTCATCCTATTAACTCTATTTGAAGTATAATCTTATTTGCTCAAATACAAAAAAGTTGTATTAAAAAATTGAAAATTGGTAAACAAAGATGAGCTAGGGCAGCTAGGTGGCACAGTGGACAGGTGTCAAGCCTGGGATCAGGAAGACAATTTCCTGAGTTCAAATCTGGCCTCAGTTGTGTGACCCTGGGCAAGTCACTTAACCCTGTTTGCCTCAGTTTTCCACATCTATAAAATGAGCTAGAGAATCTAATGGCAAACCATTCCAATATCTTAACAAGAAAACGCCAAACGGGGTCAGGAAGAGTCTGACATAACTGGAAAACAACTGAACAACAAAGATAGTAAAATCTTCCAAAAAGCCTCCCCTCAACAACTACTAAGACCTGGATATTTGGTGAGACAAGAAACATCTACAGACAAAATATGTATGTAGCCGCAAGGTCTAAGAGAAATCTCAAATCTGTACTCTTCCCCAGCTAGGGCTTTTAGGTGATTGGGTGTTCTGGAGAGCAAAGGAGGAGTACATAAGGGATTCGCTAATCAGATCACAGAGTGATTTATCGAGAGCTGGGACTACCCTTAGAGGGCAGAAGACTTCTCTGGAGTTTGATTCCGTTTAGGGGTCCGAAGAGAAGCACTTCACCTCGATTTTTATTCTCAATTAGTGAAAATGAAGCCCATAAACTTCCCTTGGCTTCTTTCGATCCCAACAAGTGAGAACCGTGGGCCGGTGACTAATACAATTACGCCCCCTTTCTACCGACCTACCGCCCCCCAGGGCCCAAATTCTTTTGCCAATGAATCCTCTCGCAGAGGGTAGTAGCGTGGAGCGAGGATGCTCGGCAAGCCAGCATTTTCAGGCCACTCAAGAGACATTCTCATCATTTCCATCTGTTAACAGCTAGAGATCAGTCTCGTCCTATCACTTGCTTTGATTATTCAGCTATGGTTTGTCAAGAGCAATAAAGGGTAGGTATCATGATGGAATCGCAAATTGGGCTCTTGCTCTGGGACAAGCACTCTGGGACTGCGAGGGAAACAAAACAAAGGAGAACAAAAAAGTCCCGGACCCTGCCTTTAAAGTTCTCTGCAGCTGGCACTTTTAACATTTCGGATGTTCTGTGTTTGCATTTGGTAGGAAATAGTTTTCAATTCTCCAATTCGTTTAATGTGTATCTCACACCGAGGGGAAAGAATGTTTTTAAAGCGTTGTAAAAAGCGAAGTTTAGTGTATGAGGGAGCGGGAGGAAGATCTACGTATTGAACGCATTGGGGACTACTTTGCACCGCTCACTTTTGAAAGCAAAGAAAGGTTTTATAGAATAGAGACCTTCACAGTGGCAGAAAGCAAACTTTTGCAGGAGGATTTTGGTGCAGTTTACCCAGTCTAGGCTGAGATTAAGTGCTATTCACCAAAGCTCGTACAAAGGCGGTACCTCTAGCCTAGTGAATCCTTAGGCAAGGCAAAAGAAGTGTCAAGTGGGACAGAGTGATGATGGGGCTGGCAGGATCTGTGGACAAAGGAATAATGAGAAAGAACAGAAAATAAAAGCAAACCCATGGGATCTAGTCAAGCTTCCTAGCCCTCTTATCTCCCCCCAGCTTCCTCTTCCCTCTTATCCCGTACCTCCCTTCACCCCGCTCGGGTCTTGGCCCCGCCACGCTCCACCTCCCACCTTAGCGTAGCAGAAGGAGATCAGCAGCAAGGGGAGCAGGTACCCGAAGACGAAGGTGCAGACCACGTAAATCTTTTTGTGCTGCTGGTTGGGCCACTGCTCCCAGCAGAAGGTCTGGTTGCTGATTTCTCGATGGAAAAGGCGCTGGTGATAAGCCACCGGAGAGGCCATAGCTATAGAGAGCGCCCAGATGACCCCCACGCCCACCAGAGCGTTACGGGAGACCCGCAGAGAGGAAGAGCGCCTCGAGTGGACAATAGCAACGTAGCGGTCCACGGACATGGCAGAAAGGGTGAAGATGCTGACCAGCATAGAGACGGTGAAGAAGTAGTGGGTGAACTTGCAGATGAAGGCACCTAGCACCCAGGTGGGCAGAGCGTACACGGTGGACTGGAAAGGGATGCAGAAGAGCAGATACGCCAGGTCAGCTATGCTCAGGTTAAGGATGAATAGGTTTGTGGTGCTGCGGGGTTTTCCTGGCTTACTACGGGCCAAAACTGTGATCACCAGAGTGTTGCCCAAAACGCCCAAAGCGAAGATCATCCCGAACACCACCAGTGTAATAAAATTCTCAATGCCGAGACCGAAGAGAGGTTTGAGATCCCGGTCTGTCAGCTCCGGTTGAGTCCCGTTCCAGCCCTCCTCAGCTCCTTCACTTTGGTTTTCCATAGCGAGGTGGGGCTCCATGGTCTAAGTTTGAGCCCAGAGAGCAGAAGAAGGCACTGCAGCTGGAAACAGGACGATGAAGCGCGGGATGGAGCAGAGGGTGAAGGGCGTGGAGGCGTTTGGCTAAGCCTCAGAAAGTGCGAAGTTCTTTCTGGAAAGGTTGAGTTCTTCCAATGAGGAGAGAACACAGGGCAGCACCCAAGATGTATCTGCCTTTCTTCGTATTCCCAGAGCTCAGCCTAGTGCCAACCGCATATTAAGGGCTTGATAAATTGCTTGTTGACTGACTGACTAGACAGCAGCAGGTTAATGGCACAAAATTTTTCCTACTGACCAACTCTTGACAGCAACAACGACAGTCTCTGTACTTCTTGAAATAAGAACTTTACCCCAATAGAGTTGAAGAGGTCTAAAAGCTAGACGAGGACTAGAGTGGGAAGAACCGCAAAGAAGTCAGGATTCTGGGGGCTGTGGTGTGTCCTATTCCGTGTGTGGTGCTCCGGCAGCCACTTAGCCTGGAGTTGAGGTATCTGATAGTAAAGAATGCCTCGGGGGGACCTCGTACGACGCTACCGGGTCCTGCCACAGAGGTCCAGGCCCTGTCTCATCTATTTTCCAGAGTCCTGCAAAGCCTTGTCTTTTTCTTCTCCCTGAATAGAGTTGCGCGACGGTAAACCTGTTGCTTCCCTTCGGCTCCGGCTTTGCCCTCTGGAGCTGTAGCAGCCGCAGGAGGAGGATAGACAGAGAGATGGCGCTGCTGGAGCAGCAGCTGCAGACAGATTCTGAGAGCTGCCCAGCCGCTGCCCCCCGATCCCGGGTGCTCTCTGAGGTTCAAGCTTGCTGCTCCCCCAAAGTGGGCTCTTCTCTTCTTTTTCCTCCTTCTAGTTTAAAAGAGACTAAAAGGAGGGTGAATAGAGTCAGCAGAGAATGCGCTCTCTCCACTCCCCTTTCCCCACCCCTGCAAGTGAGGCGAGGGACATGGATGTCTCTCTGTTCCAACCAGTGGAGGCAGGGAACGAGCCCACTATTCTCCCTCCCTCCTCCCTTCCTCTCTCCCTCCCTCCCTCCCTCTCTCTCTCTCTCTTTATACCGCCCACATCCAAGGAAAGGCAAATAGTACCAGCGGAGCCCTCGGCTTTCTGACCACCGCCCTTTCTCCTTTTGAGTTCTCAGCTTCAGTTTCCTTATCTGTAAAATGAGGCTAATACCTGGGCCACTTACCTCAGTTACTGAGAGGCTCAAATGAGATAATGTACTTAAAGAATCAATTTGCAAGCCCTATGGTGCTATACAAATGCAGATTATTATTATTATTATTATTATTGGCAATGCTGGGAGTGGGTCTACTGATTTATAGTGTCTATATTTTTCTCCTTTACATCACACTGTCTCTTCAGAGTTCAAAAAGAAAACTTTGCCCATGAAAATTTTTCCATTGCCACAAAATTTGAATTGGTTCCTCCCACCCCCACCCTAGTATTCATGCCTTACCACTTCATAGATAAGATAACTCCTTAATTGACTGTTAAAAAAAAAACACACATTCACAAATGTCTTTTGACTTTTAAAAAAACAAAAACTTGAACGGAAGGAAGAAGCAAAATATTGAATTCCTTTCAGAATTCTTTCCTGATTTTCTTTAGAACATACTGCTTTCTACTAAACCTCAGCGTGAGGGTATGAGTGAATTTCCATGACTATATTCATTGTTTTATTTTTAAAATATTTCAATATGTTTTATTTTATTATTATCCTATATTTTAAAAATGCAGGCCTTACTATTTCTAACATATGAAATTTTAACTAAAATGTAATTTAAGCCTATATCTCCAAAGTGAAAGGGAATGTTGAAATAAAGAATTATATTAGACTAGAATTCATCTAGTTACAATCCATATCTGAAGTACAAATGCCAGCTATGACAAGCCTAACAAGAGGTTCTCCACTTAAAGAGGTTCAGTGACAAGGAATTCAGAAACTTCCAAGACCTCAAAATCCATTCTGGACAGCTCTAATTATAGGAAGATCTTCCTTATGAAAGTCAAAAATCTGCTTCCTTGCAGCTTCTACATTAGTCAAGTCAAGTCAACAAGCATTTATTAAGTACCTGCTATGTGCCAGGAACTGAGCTAAGTAAAGCGGAAAAAAAAAACAACAGTTGCTGCTTTCGAGGAGTTGTCTAATAGGTGAGACAATATGCAAACTATGTATAAACAAACTTCGTGTTGGAAAGATTGAAAATTATCTCAGAGGGAAGGCATAGGCTTTCTTGTCCTTTTTCCATTCAACAACCATTCAACTATTTAAAGATGGCTTTCATATTCCACCTAAATCTTCTCTTCTTCGGGCTAAATATCCCTAGTTCTTTCAGATAATCCTCCAATAACACATTTTATAGTAATCTCACTGCTTAGTCATCTTCCTTTCCAAAATGTTTTAAATTAATGGATAATAAGACATATAAAAACTTAAAATCATCTACACAGCCACTAAATTTGGAGCAAATATTTTTAAATGAACTAATCTACTTACTTTCAAAATTGAAACACAAAGTAACATCTTTATTGCCTTAAAATATGTGCATTAAACAATATCATAAATTCACACTACAAACTTCTCAGACCCCTCCATCTTCCCAATGATACCTCCAAAATCTCCCCTTCCCCATGCCTTAATAGACAGTCTTCTAGAGTTGCCATGGCCAAAAAGTGATTCACTTGGTGACTGACCCTCTACTGATCAGACTCTCAACCCCATTGCACCTGCATCTGATATCTTTACAACTTGTTGGGACAACGAGGTGGTGCAGTGGATGGAGCAATAGGTGTGGAATCAAGGAGATGTCTTCATGAGTTTAAATCTGGCCTCAGATACCTACTAGCTATTCATTCAACCCTGTTTACCTCAGTTCCTCATCTATAAAATGAGCTGGAGAAGAAAATGTCAAACTGCTGCAGTATCTCTGCCAAGAAAACCCCAAAAGAGGTAATGAAGAGTCAGAGGCAACTGAAACAATTAAGCAACAAAGGAGAGCTTGGCTCTATAGAAGGCTTTGGTTGAGCATGCAAAGTATAGCTTCTTTAAATGATGTCTTTCAAAATGATTTCTAATAGAGCTGGAAAGGACTTTAGAGGTCATCTAAGCACCTTTATTTAATAACAATAATAGCTAACTTATATAGAGCTTACTATGTGCCAAGCATTGTGCTAAGCACATTACGATTTGATCCTCACAACAATCCTGTTAGGTAGGTTCTATTATTCTCCTTTTTTTTTTTTATACTGATGAGGAAACCGAAGTAACCTGCCCACCCTCACACAGGGAATAAGTGTCAGAGGCCCATTATGAGCTCAGGCACTTTTATAGATGAGAAACTGAGCCCAAAGAACTTAAGTAACTTGCCCACTGTCACACAGGGAATAAGTAGCAGAACTAAGATGTAAACTTAGTTCTTCTAGCTCCAAATCCAGCAGTCCTACCATTGTGCCACAGCCTGTATTTGACAGATCTATACCAACATTTTTCCTTCTTTTTTTTTTTTGTTCTATAACATACCAAACTGCCAGGTATTTAGAAACATCCAGAGAACTGACTATATCCCATTATTTGATATCACATATGGACAACCTTTCTGTCCTTCTAAAATGTTTAACTAGCCCAGAAGTTCTACTAGTTCAATTTTTGTGCTATTAACAGGTTTATTCTTAATTTTTCCCCAAATACTCTTTTTTTTTCATTTTTAATTATTAGTTATAGAATGACTCCTGTAGCACAGTAGGATGGCAGAAATTATTATACTGAAAAAATTTTAGTTGCTATAGAATATGGTCATATGATCATATTCTATCGTAATTAAGATTATTAAAATTATGTAGATCTCTATGTATTCTATCTGAACAAATCTTTGGAGAAGATATATAGAGATCTACAAGATTTTAATTCATAGATGTCTGAAATCAATAAGGTTCTTCTCCCTTATACTCTTTTCCTTACCTGTTCAAAAAAGTAATTAACAGATCATTCACACTGCACTAACGCCTATTGAGTAACCTATATGGGTTATTAGTATTCCTACAGGAGTGCTAAGGACAAGCAAACTGTCACACCTGATCTTCTGAATGATGATTTCTTTAAGAAAAAAATTTAACACCTGCACAAAACCTTTTGTGATACTAGTCAATTCAGCTAGGTGATTAAGAAATGTCAAGCTTTGAAAAGGAGCACAGTGAAAATCTGTAAGGAACCCTTTTGAGTTGAACTAATAATTATCCAGCTTTTGGCATTTCACCTTGGTGTATTACTCTTCTTTGAAAGTGTAGCTTTGATAGGTTTTTTTTGTTTTGGTTTGGTTTTTTTATGGCAAAAGGAAGGATGAGATCTAGGCCTTTGTGCTGGTCTGCATAGCTTCCCTGTACTTCAGACAATTCTTATATCCTCCTTCAAGCCAAGAATTCACCTATGTTACCCCTTAATTCATTCAACTTTATGCCCCTAGGCATATTCAGATAATTTTTTTAAGTCTCTACACCATATTTCCAAGGGGCTTTTTAAGCACTGGCCACTCACAGAGGGGATGTAGGAAAGTGGAAGGAAACAAGCGATTATTAAACACCCATTCTGTGACAAGGACTATTCTAAGCACCTTAAGAATATTATCTCTTTTGACCGTCACAACAATGCTGTAAGATTGGTTCTCTTGTTATCCCTATTTTACAGTTGAAGAAACTGAGGCAGCTAGAAGTGAAGTGACTTGCCCAAGGCCGCACAGGTCATAAGTGTTTGAAGCCAGATTTTAATTCACATCTTTGTGGCTCCAGGCCTAGTGCTCTATCCATTGTGCCACCTAGCTGCCATGTACATAATGGATAGCTGACCTGTGGCCAAGTGTTGCAGGGACAGCGGTGTATGGGGGAGAGAGGGAGAAAGTGAAGATCATGACAATGGAAGATATAGGGCATAGTTGCTTGAGTTTGACCTGGGCCATTTCATCTCAGAGAGTACCATATTTGTTAAATGAGAATGAAATCTTAGAGACGGTATGGGGGAGGGGAGGTGTCAGCAACACTTTCACCACTACCCACATTGTCTCTGCTCATTTTTGTATGTGGTTACATTCATCAGACTGTAGAAACAAAGATATAAAGCTAAAAAGGACCTCAAGGATCCTCATGTGTGTCTTCATAGGATCACAGAACCCTATAGCTAAAAGGGACCCAACACATTTATCTCATCTATAACCTAATTTCCAAAAACATAGGATTACAAAATTAGAGATTAGATCTAGTCTGATCTCTTCATTGTACACATGAGAAAAATTGCCCAAGGGAACATTTTTATTAGTGACAGTACTAGCACCAGAATTTAAGTCTCCCAGCTTCCTATCTAGTACTCTTTCTGGTATACTGAAGTGCCATCTATGTATCCAACTAGCCTTCTAGTTTATTTCTGAAATATTGCCAAAGAAACTATATTAGTATTTACATTATTATTTGTCAATCTCTTCTGTCACTGAAAGATTCCTTGGGACTAATCTAAATTTGTCAGGGCAGTTTACAGAAATTAATTATTCTCCAAAATTTTGACTGATCATTGATCTCCTCAGTGTGAATAATCCCTCTAGCACTATAAAGTGCAACTCACCCTTGCTTTCTTTTCCAATGTGATTTTTGTCCACCTCCTTCCAAACATCCCCAAAGAGCATCCATTCAAAACACTGGACTGTTTCTCTGGGTCTTTCAATATTTTGTTTGTAACAGGGAAACATTCAGGCTCCTATTATCCGTTGTTCTCAATATATGAAAAACCCATCCTCTTTCCTGTATTTTTTATGTTCAATAATATCCTTTACATTACTTCTTAGATACCATTATCATTATCATGACTGCAAATAATAGCTATTTTCTCCTGCTCTGTCCTAGTGAGAAGTTATTTATTGTCTGTCTATGTGTCCAGCACCATACTCAGTGCTG